TAGCACCTCAGTGATTTCCACAGTGAATGCTTTGTACTTGGGAGACCAATCTACAAACAAATGATTCTTACCTTCTATTTCTGGTGTTTTCAGAAAGTGCCAGTTTATGTCAACCAGTTTTAAAATAGTTGTTGACAGAAATGGAGGGTCATAATTTAGAAGTATAGGAATTGTAGAGGTATAGGCGCTGAACCAAAACAGCAACAAAAATACATTTTTTTCTGGCAGTATAGAGCCACAGTATTCAAGACATAATTACTGAACGTTATCTTCTGCCAAGTACTTTCTAGATGCTGTGGGTGTCAGTGTGTAAAACAACCAAAAATCTCTCTTTTCATCGGGTGCAATAGTGCATGCCTTCATTCTTAGCACTGGAAAGGATGACACAGAAGGAATGTGAGCTTCAGGCTAGCCCAGAGTATATAGGGATACCATGTCTCAACAAGCAAACAAACCCCACTGACATTATAAGATTTGTATTCTACTTAGTTTCAATGATCATAATAAATGTTAATCATGGAATGAGTTAAAGGTTATCAGTACTATGGGAAGGAAAAAAAAAAGAAGAGTGGGGAGGGGACTAGGAACATGTGCACATGCTAGCTGATGACAGTATCGTTCACAATGGCCAGAGTGGGCTTTTTTTCCAAGGCAGCACCTGAATGTGTTTGATAAAACAGGTACCATATTACTCAAGCTTCATGACAGCAGCAGTTTGATTTTTGTGCACAGTATATGTCAGTCTTATGCTATATACCTTTTCTAAATGACATGGTATTTCTAAGTTTCAAAACAGTCATATAAAGTAGGTCCTTTAATCTCATTTTTTTACAGAAGAAAACTAGGGCTTAGAGAAGATAAACATAGGATCATAGGTCATATTACAAATAAATATCTTAGAGGGGATCAGGATTTTGATAACTAATTCCAAAGCTCATGGTCTTTCCACCCAATCTGTATTTCCCAATATGTGGTTTCCCTAGGCATGACAGGAATCTAGTTAAAGCTCCTAAAGGGATTTAATAGAAAGTGCTGATTCCTGGGCCCTGTGCTATTCAGTTCAATCTTCTGGCGAGTAACATAGGAATCTGAATGTCTAACAAGTTTCCTTGCAAACTCTGCTGCACAATGAAGCTTGAGAACTACAATTATCATCTTTTGCCTTGGTCTTTTTGAGGAGGCTGAGATAGAGTCTTAAACTGTAGCCCAGGCCAACCTGAATTCACTCTGTAACTCAAGCTGGCTTCTAGTTCCTGAGATTGTCTTACCTCAGTCTCCTAAGTAGTTGGATTATAAACATAAGCTACTACATCACAATTACCTTTGCCTATGACCATGAAGGTTGTCATCAGGATCTATTTCCAGTTCAAGGACTTCCAAACAAATGCCTAATCTGACTCCTTAAAAAATAACAACAACCAGTTCTCATGGTTGAGGTGATAGAATCCAAGACCTCATACAAACAGGGTAAGAACTGTATCACTTAGATATATCCCCAGATGCTAGTCCTATTCTTGAATCATGTTATCCTCTGAGTTTAGGTGCCTCTTGAATACTGGGCCAAAGCCAGGTTCTTTCTTGCCTTTTCCTATTTTTCATTAACTCAGATTATGGTCACAGAGGAGTCATTCTCAACATTAGAAAATGAAGGACATAAGAACAATGTTTAGATCATTGCCAGGCTTCTTGGGATTTCTATATCCTTTCCACCAGTTCTTCTGTGGAATGACTGCTTCCAGGGTGCCTTATGCTTTTAAGGAAAAGCTCACAGCCATTGCTGCTAATAAGTCTTCATTTGTAGTGTCTTTCAATGGTAGCAGTTTATCCCTTTTCCAGCTCATAAACCTTCCTAGGGACTATGAAGAGACACAGTGGCTAACTACTTTTAGTCAGCTGGCAGGTTCTGTCATTTGAAGCATCTGAAAAATGAAAATACTAAACAAACTTTTACACACACAGCTGAATTCTTATACACCCATAGGCATGCTCTCCCATGATACTTGGTATAACAGAAAAGATTAGGAAAGACCAAGCATGCCAAGAGAATAAAAAATTGTGATGAAATTAAGTTTTTATATGCTTTTAAGAAACATAAAAGAAGAAGTCAGTTCTGGAGCACTCAGCCACACAGATGTCAGACCTAAAAAGGATCTTGGATAGCATTCATTTAAGACTATTCCATGATAACTAAAGAAATAAAAATCAAAGATGAGGTCATGTAACTAACATAGCAGAGACAGACTGCAGTCAAGTTTTCTGGTTCTACTTTATTTTTACAGACCCTGGTTTAGGATTTCTGTCTTTCTTTCCTTCAATTTCTTCCACTGTTCCTTTCTTTTTCAGTATAGTTCCCACACTCCATCAAAGGAGATCAGACATGAGTACACCAATAGTTAACTTGATTGCTAAGAAAAGTATATTTAATTCTTGCATGCCCAAACTTTCCCCACATGTAAGAGTCAGGACTTGAGAGACAGAAATCATACATTACACAGCTACTATCAAGTCACTCATGAATCTAACCAATGTTTATCTTGTTTCTACCATACCATTGGCACAGCAGTAATAAATGCATCAACCAGAAAATATTACATTTTGGTGAGGAGAAACACAACTGAAAAGAAAAATTAGCAAAATTTTCTATTATTAGTGGTTACTTCTAAGGAGAAAAAGAACGGAGTGTGAATATGAAGTCAGTGTGTGGTGTGGTGTGGTGTGGTGTGGTGTGTTGTTGTTGTTGTTGTTGTTGTTGTTGGTGGTGGTGTGTGTGTGTGTGTGTGTGTGTGTTTGTGTGTGTTTTGCTGGTAGTAGAAGTCATAGCAGGAATAGTAGAGTGAGGGTGGAGGCATTAGATTTTAGACAAAGTCATCAAGATGGACTTCTTTAAGAAACACAAACCATAACTTGTGCACATAAATATTTGTTAATGACCAAGAGAATCTCAACATCAATCCCTGCAGAGAATGATAAAAATAAAGTCAGGTTTGGAAACCATCACAAGAGATGGAATACTGATGTTTTGCTGCTGTCCTAACTATTCCAGGTGGCAGGAAGTAGAGAGAAGAGGGATGACATAATTACAATGACCTCCGCCTTTCAAGGAGATCAGGAAGCATTTTGTTAGTATCTGAGGTGAAAAGAAATTCCTGATGGTTTGTGGTTTCATATAAAGGAAAACTTTGCTTAGAATACAGAATTTAGAGAATAGAATTAAGATTGATGAGAGATATTATTTTGTTAAAAAGTCCAGAGAACATGAAGTAATGCCAAGACAACTTGGCAAGATGATATGTGACTTAAAACTTGGTGAAAATATTGAAAAGTTCAGACATTTGATTCATCCAAATATGTAATTAATTATGAGGATTTGGACTGAAGTGTGAAATTTATATAGTTGATGACTAATTCAACATTTTTGAGAGTTTTCCATGTGCAGCACAGAGACAATGCTTCTGAGACACAATAGGGAGCAAGATGCCACTGTTATTCACTGTGGTAAATGCATTTCCTCTTCCATTTGGGCATCTAGCCAGTTACAACTCCCAGCCTCTCTTGCAGTTAAATATGATCTGTGGGTAAGTTCTGGCCAATAGAATTTAGTGCATATGATGGACACTCTTTTTAGGTATACAGTAAAAGCCTAGGGATAACAGAATCTTACAGTATGTGGATCTGAGGTTCTGAAGTCATCACCTATGAGGCAGTCTACCAAATATCTGATAAAACATCATGATACTTGTATTTCTAGTATTAAAATATAGAAATTCAAGGCAGCCCATGTTGTCAAACTAATATAATTAATAATTAACATTTGGTCAGATATTTACAGTCTGTATAATTCTTTCTCATAGCAAATGATTCTGGTTGTAACTTTAAGAACTAGGTAATTTTTTTCATTTTACATAAGTCAAATTCATGCTTATGGGTTATTGAATTACTTAATCACAATAATATAGGTAAGATGCATGGAGAAACTATTCCAAATCATTGACATTTGAATATCCAAAATAAATGCATGTAGGACAAGCACGGCAATAAATATACTATAAAGTATTTGATAAGTGTAGAAAACTATGAAGGATATTCAGAAGAGGTAGCATTCTAAGTTGAAGGAGCCACAGAATACCCCAGTGGAATAGGCAATTTATTGCATTTAAAAATGATAAGAGAACAGCAAAACATGGGGAACATTCCTGTAAAAATTGACATGCAATCTGAGAAGAGACCAGAAATAGAAGAAAAGAAAATTGGCATTTGTTCTAATGTTTCAAGGGAAGTTTGAGCAAGCAATGCAGTTTTATGAAGAAAAACAGGAACTGGTAATTCAATACAAATCAAAAAAATATTTACTGAGTGCCTACCAGATGAAGGACCTTCCAAAAGTGTACGAAGGATACAGAGAAGCGATAACAAGGACACAGTCCTTGCTTTAAATGCATTTATAATCTACTAGAGGAAATGGCCATGCATGACTACAGCACAATGCTGAGCAAGATAAACATAAATAAGAATGGTAATGGGCTTCAGGAGATAGATAAGTGGCATGGGAAATGACAAGGGAAGGGCAAGGGACAAAAAGGTGAATTTTTATACAGGAGGTGTAATGTCAAGATTGACCTTGGAGAAACCATGTCACCATTGTTGGTTAATGAGCATCTGAATTCACAAAGATAATAGAACTCCAAAAAGAGGTGTTTTATTAATATTTTGAGCAAGAACTACTGCTCCATGGGTAACTGAATCCTCACATGTGATTATTATTTAAGGGACAACAAAATGAAGTTTATATTTCTGATATGATGGTTAAAACATGGAAACAAACTTTTGTAGTGACACCAGAGTAATGGAAATTTCTATTTGAGCAAAACTGCCTGACTTTAATGGGTTCACTCATGACTAGAACAGCAAACCAGAAAGTGACAAATTTGAGTTTCATTATACTGCCAGAGGTAACCAACAAGAAAATCACTGAGATGTGTCACCACTGAAGGGCCACTTACCATGAACAGGGCTTCATAGTTTTCAATCATCTTCTGGACCACAGCTATGATGGCTGTGCTCTCTTCAGCTCTGGCTGAGCTCTGGACAGAATATTCCTTGTCTGATGACTTCTGTTTGTGGAGCAGGTTGGGTCCAAATATAGTGGCCAAGTTCAGAGATGTCATTTTGTTCCCGGTGACCTATGGGAGAAAAAAAAACACAAAGCATATTCTTATGTTGCTTTTTTCATTGCTGGATCTTCAATAAGCCATGAAATATTTTCATTAGTAATTTTTCCTTGCATGGAAAACATCACCTTTGTCAGAATCTAAGAGGACATGGTAATATGCCTTTGCTTCTTATTTTGGATTGAAGATCAAAATTCAGTGATCATCTCAATAGTACATAGAATAAAATGTTGCAATTCTGAAGTGTTTATTGTCAAACTCTTACTATTCAACATCTCCCAAACCATTTGTACTTAAAAAATATTGATGCTCAGTAATCCATCTATCAATGTGTCTCTTCATCTGTCCCTTTACCCATTCATCCATAACATCTCCACTGATCCATCCACTCAGCATATTACTACCCTAAGCTTGACATTTTTCATGGGTCAAAATTATTTTTAACATTTCCAACAACAATCATCACAGCACAGTCATTATTTTAAAGGGCTCCCATTCTAGGAAGGAAATACACTTCTCATTCCCAGGTAGTGAGTACAAAAAAAAAAGACCTTATCAACTCCAAAGACTCCAGAATTTGGAGATAGTAATATTGACAAAAAAAATTGAGAAAGAAGGAAATCATTACTTCTGATGAAAAGCAGAGTCTCTGGGTAAGGAACATTTTTACACTGGAGCACAAAAAAGCACGAGGAACATATGTGGGACATCAGAGCAAGAGGATTTTGTATGGAGAAGGGAGGATTTGCCTGTTTTAAAGAGCCATCTATGGCCCCAGAAACAGCAGTGGTGTGACAACAGATGGGGCATGGTACCACAGTCTAGGTTTCAGGAGCTAGCTCCTGTACTACAACAGAAGAAATAAGGGTAAAGTATAGTTTGCAATTGTCATGTAGATTGTCAATGTACAGAATAAGGATGCCATACTGGGGGTGAGGATTTTTTGTTTAAATGAAAGTAACAGAAACCGATTGTGAACTGGTGAGGCGTATAAAGGGTTTAGGTGGGGTCCTTCAGACTTAAACACCCTGAAGGAGTAGCTGATAAAACAGACCAAGAAGGACATTTAGAGAAGAGAAGAAACATGTGCTGGGAAGGAATGCTAGGGGAGTTTCAAGTGTGTGATATCCCGTGACAGATGTTCACCACGACATTCTAGTCATTCCCTCTGGATTGGATTGGAGGGTGGTTCTGATGGTCTGGAGCAGAGTCTTTGCAGGGTTGCAGCAGGCAGTGAGAACAGTGAGTGCAGATGCTTCTTCCAACACTCTCACAAGCAGGGACAAAAAAGAAAGACAGTTGGGTAGGCAGGGCGTGGCACTATCAGGAAGCACAGAATGAAGGCAGCAAAGTACTCTTTAGGTGAAAATATTAAACACACACACATTCAATATGTTAATAAATAGAAGCATGGGCACACATGTAGAAACAAAATAGCTTTTATCTACCACTCCCCAGATCTATTTGTCCAAATGCTTTCTATCTTTTTTGTTGTTGTTGTGTTTTGAGGCAGGGTTTCTCTGTGTGACAGCCCAGGCTGTCCTGGAACTCACGATGTAGACCAGGCTGGCCTTGAACTTACAGAGATCCGCCTGCCTCTGCCTCCTGAGAGCAGGGATTAAAGGAGTGTTCCATCACCGCCCAGCTCAAATTCTTTCTTAAGTGCCTATTTGCACAGAAACCCATGGTATAGTTTTTTTTCCTTCTGAAAGCTAGAGTCTCACTCCATATCTTACTTTGTAACTTGCTTGTTGTCTCTTACCAACATGTTGCATTCATCTCCCAATTTCAAACATTTCTTTACTTTTTCTTGGCCGTTAGAAGCCAATGGCATAAACTGATGATCATGATTTGCTTTAAGCACAGCCAAATGATATGCATTTGTGCCATTTTCAGTCTACTGTTGCTATAAATAATGTACAGAAATATCTACATAAAGGCATTTTATGTGCTTGGCTGAGCACTATCTTGGGAGTCATTTCTCCAAGTTAAATTGTTATAATAAGGACTATGAGCATTTTTAAAAGCTCAGTAATCGTTTTACTTACTTGTCTTTTTCACACGGGAAGGAAAGTCTGGCTAAATAATTCTAATCCAGTGTCTCTCTATCATGGTAGTAGTGAGATTTGTAGCAGACTATTCTTTGCTGCAGGGACTGTCCCATGCAGGGTAGGATATTAAGTGGCCTTAGATCATTAAAGTCTAGTAGCACCCTTTCACATCCATTTGTGCCAACTACAGGTGTTTCCACATGAGGCTCTGTGTACCTTGTAGGGCAAAATTTTCCTCAGCGAGAGCTATTGGTCTGTGTGAACTTTGATTTCTCTTGTTAACATTAGCCAAGAATGCTGAGGACTGTCAGGGTAAAGATATACCCCCAACCCAAGGAAGATCCACACTATCGTTGAGACAGTATGTAGTGGTCTCACATAGGACTCAGGAATCTTCACAGAACAGTCAAGTTGAAGGCCTTTACCATGTGAAGTTCAGAACTGGTGGGCGTTTTGTTCTGTAAGCTCGCTATGGAAACCCAGGTTGCGTTTTGTTGTTGTTGTTGTTAAAGGATGAGACTATTTTCAGATAAACAAGTCACCACCAAAGGAAAGTATTATTTTGTATAGTAAGATTTCCAAATATAAAGAGACAGTGCATTTTCTCTGGGACCTTTAGTTACTCGGTCTTTGTTTTATTTTGTTGACATGAAGCTCTGTAAGTTTTCATTCTATTTTTCAATCCTCTTCCTGGAAATTCATGGTTAAGAAGAAAATAAAGTATGTGTCATTTTCCCATTCTTCCTTTCAGAACTTGGAGGCATCTGGAAAGCTTCCCCAGCCCCCTTTAAAGTAAAATTGGAGTTTTCTCCTTTTTTTTTCAAGCATGAAGAAACCAAAGATTTTGTTTTCACTTAAAAGAATGTTTAGTACAAGGACAATCCAGAGCTCTGTTTCCGCTCTCTCCTTCTCTGGTTGCTATTCTGGGAATGCAATACTATCCGTCTGTAAGATTGCACATGGATTCCAGCTGCAGCCCAGGCTGCTGCACGTTGTTCCCATTTTATGTTTTGTTTTGCTGTTTATTAAATTTTGAAGAAGTCTTGTTCCTGGACATCTCCTACCTTTGCTCTCCATGTTTTAATACATACACATATGGACTTTAATTAATTAATTAGTTAGTTAGTTAATTAGTTAGTTAGTTAGTTAAGTATATACGGTCTGTCTAGGTAAGAGGAGCACTCAAAACCAGGCCATTACTGCATGATTTAGTTAGCCAGCCAATTCCAGGAAATCTTCTATCTTCACTAAGTAAGCATCCCAGATAATTTCTAAGCACTGTATAAATAGCATGTATTAAAAGTCCAGAGTTTCCAGACATCAACTAGGGGCTTTCCAAAGACTTTTTCAGTCTTTTCTCTAGATAAGTTTATGTGGAAAGCAGCTGCTCCCATGGTCATTATTTTATAGATAGTGGGGCAAGAAGGCCCAGAGCCAGGAGGAGGTAGAACAGTGAGTAGGAAGTGAAGCCATACAGCTGTGCTGGTGCCAGCTTTTTGTACATTTCATTATATGGGTATACCTCCTCCTGTTTGCCCTTGGTCGGCAGACCCTATAAGGGCATGGGGAGATGGGAAAATGAGCTTTAAAGTAAGGCTTGAGGAGGCTGAGGCAAGGGAGGCAGAATCTTTACCATATCTAACTTACCATATCTTAGAAGCAAGTACCTCCTCAAAGGTCAGAAAGCATGGCTCCACATTGGGTCTTTGGTGCTTCTTATATAGTTCCTTTGAGAGTTGATGGCAGCTACAGCCTCTCTCATGAAACAAATGCCTGGTCACACCATATTTTCTGTGCAACGTCAGCAGAGTCTTAAACTCTGCAAAACCACCCTCAGGAGGTTTGGGTTATATTCTACTATAATTTTTGTTGTTGTTGTTAAAAAAGAGGAAATGGAATATTTCTTAAACCTGGAAATTTCTTTTTTCTCTAAATAGCAAAGCAAATAGCAAGGTAAAATAGAACAAAACAAAATTAACATAAGACAAAAAATTCTATAAGATACCACAATTTTCCCCAAAACACCACCAATGGGTTGACCTCAACATATACATATATTCTTCTGATATATCTTCATGATCTTACCAATGAAGAGTGCACTGAGTTTTAAGCACATATTAGAAAGGACGTGAAGTTTTCACTTTGCAGATGAGGAAGTGTAGGCCTTTCCTGGCCCTGACTCTGCTTTCCCTTCTCTTCCTCTTTCAAAGAGACAAAGCTCTGGCAAGAATTTGTGAGCTTCCAGGCTTTTTATAAAACTAATCTGAGTCAGTTTTCTTCCTTGCTGCAATCCATAAAGAAGTGATGACCTAACAAATGCCTTACAAACTAACAAAAAGGTTGAAGAAGAATTGGAGAAATGCTCTGTTATTTGTCCGTAATTTACTATGTAGTATTTTGCCTTTCTCCATTCTTCTGTTCATTCTGTGTTTCCTACCTGTTCATGCAACTAAACAATTCTAAGCAAAGAACTTCTTCTTTGTTTCTCTACCTCTACCCTTAGCTTTTATTAGAGGGGTTTAGCTAACTCCTATTCATATTCTATACTTATGTGGTCCATCTACTCAACCCCCTACAAGGTTTGTATTTAGTATTCTCCATGGAGCTATTTGCAGGTCTTCTAGCTCATGTCTATCCCTTCTCTGAATGTCTGTTTGCCTTCTGTCTTCATCTCCTCCACTTCTAGACTCCTGTTTTCTCTACTGCCATTGATACAAAAGCTTCCTAACACATATTCTCTCTGTCTCTCTCCTTCTCTGTCTCTGTCTCCCTCTCTGTGTAATTAATCTACAGCATAGATTATATCATCTGTTTCCCAGTGCTCCCAAAGTTCATATCTTAGCAGGTTGGAGAATCTACCTGCAGAAGCATTCACTAACCTATGAACATGCCCCAGTTTCCTGCCATCCCCTCAGTACTACTCTGCTCTGTAGCCTTAATCCAACATGCTGCTTGCTTATAGTCACTTCTAACCTGTCCAAGGAAGTAATGCTGTCCTTCCATTTTCCCTGCTGTTTTAACTAAGTAACTTAGACTGGCTGAAGTCTGAAGGACAGCTGGACACTCACTACTTGCAGAATCCAGCTGATCACCAGCCAGTATGATGATATGTATGGACTGATGAAAGAGACCCCTCTGCAACAGCTTTTTACTGTTACTTACATGGATACTGTCCTACTGACTTGGCAGATCTACAGTGAAGAGGGTATATGGTACTTCTCCAGAGTGGTAAACTGCTGTGGATATCGCTCGGTATAAATAAACACTGATTGGCCGGTAGCCAGACAGGAAGTATAGGCGGGACTAACAGAGAAGAGAATTGAGGGAACAGGAAGGCAGGGGAGGAGACTGTGGTAAACTGTATAAACATGCCAGTTATATTGCCATAAGTGGAAGCTCCCTGGCTGACATGTGCTAAGTTACCTAACCACTCTCCCTCAGTTTCTACCCATGAAAAGTGGGCACAATGATATTTTTCTTGCCTATTCAAAGGACTAGGAACTATGGCAGAAAATCAACATATGATAGAAGGAGTCATAGATGGTAGCTAGGATCCTAGCAGGCTAAGATGAATCTATATTTTTACCTAGGAAGAGTGTCTTATTTGGGGCATGAGTAATGGAGTCTTGTTGAGCTTTGAACTAAAAACTGGGTGTCTGAAAATTATTCTCCAAAGACAATATGGTAGCAAGTTGGACTGGACTTTTTGCTTTCCTCAGTGCCTTTTTAATCACCCAAGATGCAGCTTTCTCCTTCTCACATAGTACTTAAGGAACACCAGAGAGGCAATTGGCATACCTTCCAATCAGGGCTATGTTTCCACTCAGTCACTAGACTCTACAGCTTCTATTATCTCTGTAGTCCATAAAGGCTGACACCCAGACGGATAATGTAACTATGCAACAATTATGAGAATTATAGTCTATCCATGGAAGAGCTGTGTATGTTGAAATAAGGTGTCAGGACCATATGATGAAACCTGAAGTCAGTGGGGGTTTCACTAATTATAACTCCTACAGAGAAAAATGGCTACCTTGGGAAAGTTCAAGTTCCGTTCTCACACTCCTGGTGGGAAGGAGGAGGAGAAATGCAGAATTGCTTTTCTCAACTATGGCAAAAAAAATTACATATGTCCATGCCCTGTGGGAACCAAATCTGACAAGCATAGAAGTCCATCATACAGCTGAGCTCTGCTTAATAATTTAAATAACAGCATTTGTGGTTATGTAAGATTGGAACTGTGGTTAAGTAAGATTGGAACATCTCTGGCTCCCTTTTGTTGATTTATGGTACATGCTAACCTATTAATGGCTCTGAGGCCTCTTGGGAAAACTAACATCAGAGAGAAGTATGGCTATGTGAAATCAAAGAAGGAAATGGGGTCCTCTATGAGGGTGAAGATTTAATAGGGCATCAGCTAGCAGGCTGTGTCTTTTGACCAATGACAAAACTGTAAAACGCTTGAAAGTATGAGTGTGACCAAAGAGAACCATAGCCTTAAATCTCATATGGGAGGAGGGATCACACTAGCCCTGAACTGGGAGCAGTTTCAACTAGAAAATGTTTAAGTGGTCTATGAAACTTGTGCAAAAGTGCCTTTAACAATTGACCTTAAGTGGCACTGCTATATAATAATAAAAATCAGAACCTTCATTACAGTCCATACTTGACTTAAAAGCAGAATAGCTCCATCTCATTCAGCAAATACCTGTTTTGGAGAAGTAATTTAGGGAATGAAAGGACCTCTCTATACAAATGCAGATGAGATAAGGGTGTATGTGTGTCACATTTTGATTCCAAGTCAGCAAAACAGATTTAGCCAGTTACAAGAATGGTACCCTTCTCACACTCCCACATTTCATTTTTACACATTTTCAAAACCCTTCTGTAGCCAATTATTTATCTTCCTCTCACAAATGGAAGGTTAGGCTTGAGTAAACATCTTTGTGGAAAATAGGAGCCTCATTTTGAGGCATCATTGAAATGTCAAGGAGGTCAACAGTTTTCATGAAACTGAGCCCCCCAGAGAAGGCCTTGGGAGGGTAACACTATTACATAAGCATCTAGGTCAGAGGACTTGTGATTGGATTTATAATAGGCATTAAAAATCTTTCAGCATGTCAGTGATGTGTAATCTACATTAGATGGAGATGGGAAGACCCACTCTAAATGTGGGTGATGTCATTCCCTGGGCTGGGGTCCCTATTGAATAAAAAGGAGAAAGTAAGCTGACTGTCAGCAGACATCTCTCCCCTCTTTCTCACTACAGACACAGTGTGACCACTTGCTGCTTTTTCCTGTCGGCATGACTTGCTTGTTAGGACGAACAAACCCCTCCTTCCTTCTTTTGATGGCTTTTGTCAGGTATTTTGTTGATGTAATGAGATAAGTAACTAATGCAGATGGTGAGGTGTCATGTTTTCCAATTGAAATGTGTGGCCATATTGATGGTTTGTGCTTTAACAGCTAGAACAACAGGTGAACAATAGAAAAGAAGTCACTCTATTTATGGCAGCATACCTCTTGTCCATCTTTGCTGACATTATCATCTGCATGCCTGGCCACAATGGAGAGGAACTGTAGGAGGCGGTGGAGGGTGTCGCAGTTGCAGGGAGGTAGAAGGTAGATGAGGAGTTGCAAGGTGCCCAGTTGTTCTTCTGGTTCCAACACTACACAAGGCAGAGAGACATTTTGAGTAAGACCAGAGGGGCTGACACCGTTTGGACACTGAGGTTAGGTTTCATCTACGCTACCAAAAGAAAAAAGTTACCCAGACCAGGTCTACTTTGTAACTTAACCCATTTTCCCACTACTTTAGCAGCTTAGCTACAAAATCCTATGAAAGGTATAGAGAACAGTTGGATGGCCAGAGAAATCATGAGAAAGATAACTCCATCTCTCTTATTTCCATCAGCCTCCTTTCTCTTACTCATTACTCAGACTGACTTAATGGGTTTTAGTACACACTGATAACTGACAGTGGCTGGGAATTGGTGAATGTTCTGAAATTTTTATAATGTGTTTAAGGGCCTTTTCTCTTGAACAATATACCAGGTATAGACTTTTTGTTGGCAATATCCAAGATATGTGACAAAAACACTGTCTTCTTTCTCAGCCACAATCCCACTGGAATTGCTGCTTTGCAGGAAGAAATGTGTGCAGGCCGGTACATCTCTGACATTTCCCTTCTCCTCCTCCCTAACCTTTCTCCTTCTCTGAGGTCTGTGTGCTAGACACAGCTCCTTTGAAAGCACTGGCACTGGGCTATGCCATTTTGCTTCCACTGAGAATGTTGTTTGCCCTCTTTCTTACTCTGGGTTCTTTGGCTTCCTTCTTCCTCATATCAGAAGCCAGGACTCATTTTTAGGCACAGACTCAATGCAAGCTCTTGCCAGCACTTCAAAGCATCAACTTATAGCACTTTCTACTTTCCTGGGGTCATTTGAAAACATCTGAAATTCTTCTTGGCTTTTCCCATTCACTTTAGCCCAGCTTTCTTCTTGCTAGTTTCCCCCAGGGTATATCTCAGAAAATCCCCCAAATAGCCCATTCATTAGAGACCAATAAAGGCAAAAGCAGTTATTGGAAAACACATGCATAAGATTTTCATGAGTTAGCCGGACATCCTGCAGTTTCAAGGATATGTTTCCGCAAATCTGGCTTTGTTACGTACAGAGAGTGTTGATGAATGCTGTGTATAGCTCCCTAGTGAGAAGCGGGTCAGGCATGTCCCTGAGGAACTCCTTCAACAAGGCTGCCACATCATGAACACTGTGCTCCTCTTCCAGACAGACATCAATCCCACGGTCAAATTCCTCACGCAACTGGAAAATTAACGGTTCAAGTATCAGTTACATAAGACTCAGGGTTAATTTGACAAGAAGCTTCATATAGTCAGTGACACCTTAGAACCATCTAACCTCAGTGTTTAGTGCTCATCCCCCCAAAAAAATGTTTTGATGGACAAAATCTGGTCTTAAGTTTGCACAGATCACAAGAATGAAAAAAAAAGAAACAATATGTCACTTTGAGCTACAGACTTTACACATACTAATTATTAATGCACACACACACATATTTGAACGCGTTATTACAAAACTAGTTGTGGATTTGTTGTTAATGGTGTACACAGAGGGACTAGATAACAAGAATCAAGAAGTTGGGAGTAAGGGCTAAGAGTTAGAAGAGAATTTAGGTCAAGTGTAAATGTGTGAGAACTATTATACAACACTTGTGCATGTCACCAAACACATCACATTGGAATTTTGATAGTTGACTAGAACACCAAAAAAAAAAAATTTGACAAATCACAAAACTAAAAATGTGGATGAGATATAGTATGATGAAGGCTTAAAAGATGATATATTGAAATGAAAGTTATCTTTAATTTGTCAGAGTAGCCTTATGAGCAATTACTAGAAAGCATCTCAGACTTAATAATTATACAAATCCTACTAACAAAGCAGAAGGAAAACATGATAAGATGGCAGAGATAATATGCCTTGATCTTGTTCTCTGTTGTATAAATTATTATGCAAGTCCATGGATAGACAGTATAATAAACTTCTGTAAGACTTCTTTAGTTCATTCATTCATTTATTCATCCATTCATTCAACAAAGACTCATCACATTATCCTGGGTCTCAGCCCCTATTATAGACTCTCAATGTATGCAAGTACACCAGTAAATAGAGAGACGAAGTCCATAAGCCAACTTCATCCCTTAGAAGTAGAGATACAAGGTAGATAAGTAGGTAACACCACAAATGACAAGTTCTTATTTCATAAATATTCATATTTCCCCTCCTCTCTCTGTGGGTGCAGGATGTATGTGAACATGTGTGTGCAGGTATACAAATGTGGAGGCTAGGTTATGATGCTGAGTGTTTTCCTTTATCACTGGACTTCATATGCCCATGAGACAAGATCATTTACTGAACTGAACCTGGAGTTTTCCATTTCTTGAGTAGTCTGGAGGCCATAAAGCTCCAGGGATTCTTTTGTCTCTGCTTGACTTCTCTCACCCCTAGTGCTGACTTTATAGCTATGTGGTTATGCTAAGCTTTTTATGTGGGTGCTGGGGACCAGAACTCATGCTTACACACCAAGAACCATCTCCCCAGCCCTAGCTCTTATTTTTTGAAGAAAAAGTACAGGTATGTAAAAGTTACATAAAAACATAAAATAGTGTGTTAATCATGCATCCATTTATTTCATGCTTAAATTTATTCCTAAGTTACCACTAATTACATCTTATTGAGTGAGTAATCCTTAAGTAAATCTCTATGCAAAAAAAATCTCCCTTTTTTATGGATCCAAAAATGTCAAGGAGTAATTGCTGGCACTCATCATCTGTCCACTTGATTGAAAATACCAATCACTGCCCTCAATTGCTCACTGATTCCTGACAATTTTCCATTAGCATTTCCAAGACAGCCAGAACGAGGAGTGCACCCATAGCATTACTGCAATCAAGCTAGTTCAGACACAGCATGATTTTTTCCTAAACACACACATACAGCATAGACACACACACACACACACACACAGAGAGAGAGAGAGAGAGAGAGAGAGAGAGAGAGAGAGAGAGAGAGACAGACAGAGACCGATAGACAGAGACAGAGAGAGGTGGACCATGAAAGGAGCTTGTTTAATCACATGATCTTGAATTGAATTTCTAAATTTCTACAATCCTGAGAAAAAAGGGGTGAAGGGGACTGCAGCTGAAGGGATGATTCAATAAGACATTATTAATAAAGGTATTCCTTAATTTTACACTGGTGTGAGGCCTAGAAGACAGTTTTATAATTTATAAGCGTCATGGTGATATGGTGTTATTCACTCATCTTGGGTAAAAATTAAGAATACAAATAAACTAGACCAAAAGAGACACATGATAGGGTATTTACTTCAACATACAAACAGTTCTTTAACTTCAACTAAAATTTCTACCCTGGATTAACTTTTAAATTGTAGAGTTATTTATTTTCTTCTGTTTCAACCAATAGGAGAACACAACATTGTAAGCATCTTTTGCTAACAAATGAGTTCTGTTTGTTAAAGGATGGTTTGCCTTTTAGGAAGCCATCACAACCCCCCAAAACCTATCTGATCAAAGGAAAGTAGCCTTGACAATCTAATATCAAATTTCTGCCAGAAGAATGTAGTGTAATGCTGGAAAAAAAAAAAAAACAAGGAACATAGTTTATCATGAGAAATGAGTCAGGGACCAATAGTTCCATAGAAACTTATAAAGCATCTATTTTTCATCAGATTAGATGAGAGTACGTATGGCATTTTCCTAGTACATTTGGGTAAAACCAGCCACTACTAAATTATGTTCTATTTGGGCATGTCTAGAAATATTCCTTCAGTGTTTTCACCCCAACTCTACTTTTCTAAGCTTCTGAGTTGTGTTTCATCTCCTGGAATTTAATTATACCATAATTGGATGGAAGGTTGGGAAAAGATAGTCAGAGGGAATTTACATAATCTTGAACTTTCCACCTAGTAATTCAATGAAATTTCAAGGGAAACGGACAATATAACCTTCAGTTTTTACTTACTTGTCTCACTCTCTTTTTTGAGCTTCCAACTCGAAATATCCCCACTGTCTGGAGGCCTGTAAATAAGCAAACAAAATCAACAGTTGTTTTTTATGACTGAGACTCTGAATGAAAGCAGTGTAGAAACAGTGTAGAATGCTTGTACAGAGCTGTGACATGCAGAACAGCAGTGACTTCACAGTGTTCAATGGCACTTCCATATGTCATACTATTCACCTTCTCCAGATACATAGTTGGCTCTTTAAACATCAGAATTATTTTACCTTAAATGTTTGGGGATGAGAAATTTTCCCGTGTGACTATTGATGTTATAAGTCTGAGAGATCTTTTTTTATAGGCATTTTTTATTGGCATTCTTCTATATCTATGGCATGATTCTAAGATGATCAAAAATGTGAACAAAGACAGCTACACAGAGAAGGTCAGAGTAGGACCACTTATAAGAGAAAAACAAGCTGTGTATTTGGAGCTAACTTGGGTCCACTCATATGACAGACTATTGTACATCCTTTTTAAATGACATTTATAAGAAATTTTTACAAACATGAAAACTCTGTGTCCTATCATCAAGTGAGAGTAGTGGCACTCTCTTCATGTATATATATCTATATATACATCTACACCTACATCTATATTTATGTATATTTATAGATATAAATATTATATGTACCTATATATAGGTACAGATATAGATTTATGTATACATACACATATGTATGTATATATGTAGTATTATTTAAACTAAGTGATAGATGTATATATTTTTTCAGGGAGTTTTAAAGGCTAAATAGAAATAAACTGAAATTTTAAAGTGATTGCTTTTTTTGAGATGGGGTTTCACTGCATAGCCCTGGCTGTTATGGAACTCGATCTGTAGACCAGGCTGGCTTTGAACTCACAGATATCCACCTGTCTCTGCCTCTCAAGTGCTGCGATTAAAGGTGTGCACCATCACTGTCCAGCTGTGATTGTTTCTTAACTGTTTAACTGTTCTACATTTTATAGATTTTTCTTTAAAAAGTATGTTTTCCTTATGAATAGAAAAAAATCGATTTCAAATTTGATAAAGAGCCAAAGTTCCTATAAATTTCATGTTTAAAAATTATTTAGAATAATGAAATAAGTTATAATATTTTATTTCTTGTGGGGAAATTGAAGCTGAAGAAATGGCTTGGTAGTTAAGAGCACTTGCTGTTCTTCCATAGAACCCAGGTTTGTTTCCTAGCACCCACATGGCAGCTTGCAAACCTTTGCAACTCCACTTCTAGGAAATTCAACATCCTCTTTGGTCTCTGAAGATAGCTGCATGCATGTGGTGTACAACAATAACCTTAGACCCACACACAGACATAAAATAAGTCTTCAAAAATTGGTCTTTAAATATAGCAAACACTCTTACTACCACATATTGGAAATTTTAACAAGAGTTATTTAATGACACTGACTTTTTTTCCCATACCCTCATAAGGGTTGCAAATTGTGAGTCAATGTGGTTTTTAATGTCCTAATCTGCATTTTCATCTTCCTCTATTTTTTTTCTGTCTCCCTACACACTTGATTTGGTAAAGAAATAGCATTAAGTTCCCACTGTAAATATCTCCACTGACTAGATTTGGGTATTCTATGATGTCATTTATATGATTCCCCTCTCCATTTAATCTCCCAATAACATAAGAGTTAAAGCATAAGGTTTTTATGGCCAAGTGTAATTATCAGTGGTAATAATATTATAAAATATATATATATATATATATATATGTATATATATATTGTATTTTCCTTCAGAAGACACAGATGTTTATCCATTTTCTTTCCTTTTGAGATAGTCTCACTATGTGAACCAGGCTGATCTCTCATTCACAAAGGTCTACCTGTCTTTGCCTCCTGAATGCTGGGATTAAAAGCATGTGATACCATACATGGTTTCCATTTTCTTGAGAATCCTGCATCATCACTACTGAGGAGCATTATCTATATCTTTTACATTTTTTTCACTGTTAGCTCACTTCTCTTCATAATCAAGTATGAGAATGGTGCTAGATTGGAGGTGATAGTGACCATTTGAAACTGAATATAGTTATTGAGAGTAAAGCCAGTAAACAGAGAATCCTCATAGTATTTTTTGAATCTTGCATTCAGACTCCCAGCATATAAATAAGGATTATAGGGTATTAGAAGAGGTAGGGGGGAATTCTCCTTAATCTGCTTTCATCTAAGTTTCTTTCTTCTGTGACTGAATGAATTCTGACTAGTGCAGTACATCATTAATTGGAAAGAATTGAAAACTTTATAGCATTACTTCTTTCTATCCAGAAACAAGAAAACAAAGGCTTGCAGTTCTCTTCACAGGGCCTTTATAATATAGGCAAACATGTGTATCTTTTGCATTAGTATTAATTATTTCATTATTATATGGTATCATTGATTCTTGATTTATCTCAAAATAATATTTTTTTTTACATTTTGATATTAAGTACTAGCACCTTTATTTTATGAGTACATTTTGCCTGCATGTATATATTGCACCATATCCCTGATGCCTATGAAGGCCAGAAGAGGGAGTTAGATCTTCTAAACCTGGAGCTAAGAATGGTTATGAGCTACTTTGTGGGGTCTAGCAACTTATGCCATGTCTTCTGCTGTAGCAGCAAATGCTCTTAGCTACCGCTCTATCTCTCCTGTCCCAAATGTTAACACTTTTTAGTTGGGGTTCCAAAGGGTTTTATTTTTTTTTGTTAGAAAATTCAATAGAATAAACATCCCATTTATCAGTTCTGTTTTTCAAAAGTGTTATCCTGAAGTTCCAGATGATTTGAGAGAATTGTAGTGGGAGATTGGTTATTGCTGATTTGCATTTGTATGCATGGATGCTTTGTTTGGAGGTAACCTCCTTTTTATGACTGTTAATTTGCTTCCTAAATGAGATCAAATCCCAACCTAATTTATGTTTTCTACTTCTTTGGTAAGCTTAAAATATGAGATTCAGTTTAGAATAGGATACAGAATTATATTTCTTCCTCTGTAAAGTGATCTTAAGCACCTGCTTCAAAATGTATGTACTGATTCTATTAATCAGAGCATATAGAATACTTAGAATAATATTTGAATGTGCTATTATTTAGAGAAAGACAAGCCATGAATTGGTTTGATGAGTCTTCTATATGCAATGTAAAAAAAAACAAATAAAATGACATCTTAGAAATATGGTATTTTGCTTAGTTTATATTTTCTTATTCTTAGATGGCTTCTGAATACTCAAAATTTCAACAAAATAAAGATATCAGAAGGGAATTTTTACAAGAGTAGAACTATTCATTTGGATAAATTTCTCTAAGCTGTTCAGAAACGCCATTAGATAAATTCTTCATTCATTGCTGTTTCTCACTGGGTATTAATTCTGATACATCTCAATCGACTCTAATATATTTTGGTTTTTGAATTGGATTTATTTTTTAAGGTAGAACAAATGACAGTCTTTGGATCAACAATGCCTTTTTCTGACATAACTTCACAGTGATTTTCCTCAGAGACAAAGCAAGTACAGTTTAGTCATTCAATAACCATAACTTAAGGCAGTCACTTAAAAAAAAAGTATACACTGAAAAGACATTGATCTCAAGAAGAACTTGGCTGAGTCTTGTCCCTGAAACTGATGTGATCATCTCTCTCCCCTTTTCATCAAAACCTGCAATGGACACCAGACCCAGAAGCACCTGAATCTCAGTCCTAGAGAAATGAGGACAAGCATTATAAGCAACAGATCCCACTCTAAACTCAACCTCAATCCCAGAAGCATCCTTTGACTCTCTGCTAGCCTTTTGTCTGACTTTTGTAGCTTCTGGAAATTTGAGGTGCTTAAGGAATTTTGACTTAAGAATAGAGAAGGCATTTGAAATGACATATAAGAGAGGAAGGGCTGGGTACATGAATATTGATGAAGCCAATAAAAATATTCAAGAACAATTTTGGAGAGGGTAGAAAAAGGGTCTCTGATAAATACTTAAAAGACTAAAGTGACACATGTCCTCTACTACCCATTTCAAAAAACAGGCAAAACAAGTATTAGGGAAGAAATGCTCTTGCTATTGTTTGTCTCACATAATGTGACCCTGTCTCAAAGTAAAGCAAGGCAAAACAAAACAAAACAAAACAAAACAAAACAAAACAAAACAAAAAACAACAGCCCCCCCCAAAAAAAAAAACATCTAAGACACTTTATTTTTTGAAGCTTTGAAGTTTGGGGGTCACAAATGCGATATCATGCAAATCAGATATTTATATTACAATTCATAGCAGTAGCAAAATAAAGTTATGAGATAGCAATGAGAATAATTTTATAGTTGGGGGTGGGGATCACCACAACATGAAGGAACTGTATTTAAGTGTCACAGCATTAGGAAGGTTGAGAACCACTAGTTTAGAATATTCAATATCTATTTGAATTTGAATGTATATCCTATTATTCTGGAATCATAGCTATGATAGAAATGCTATGGATACTTGAATACATCAGGACCTTGAATAGTTGATCAGCTTAAGTCTTGCCTTTAGGTCCAAACTATGCAGTAAATATTCTGTGCTGAAAACAAAACCTGAGATTTAAATACATTTATTTATCAAGTCATTCCATTATCCAATGATTTTTATACATAATGAATTAATTAAGCAATTTTAATGCATACTTAGTATTTTTTCCACCAAATTCGGTTTTTGTAATTAGAAAATAAATAACAATGTTCACAGTTTATTTTATCCTTACTTTCTCTCCTGTTTTTTTCTTTCTTTCTTGTAGGACTGACTATTTAACCTAGGGCATTATGCATTCTAAGCAAGTGCCACACCACTAAAATGCATCCCTAACTCTTGTTTTAGTTTTCATTTTGAGACAGGGTCCCACAATGTTACCCAGGTTGACCTTGAACTTACTCTGTAACACAGGAAGACCTTGAACTTGAAATCTTCCTGCCCAGCCTTCTAACTAGCTGGGATAGAATGAATACACTGATAGGACCAACAGTTTCTTGTTGTTTTTGCTTTAAAAAATTGTAATGAAATCCCATAACTCAGGAGGCGGAGGCAGACGATCTCTGAGTTCAAGGCCAGCCTGTTCTACAGAGCAAGTTCCAGGACAGCCAGGAATACACAGAGAAACCCTGTCTCAAAAAACAAAACAAAACAAAGAAGTATAGTGAACATATTATCTTTATAGTGAAAAAGCAATTAAGGAAGTTTTCCCAAATCCATAAAAGTGTGTGATAATTCTATAGCAAATAAACATATGTGATAGATATGGCATTTTATGAGACAAATATCTAAATTTCAGAAAAGAACTATCCATCATATTAAAGTCATCATGTTAATAGGAATTGAGCTGCAAACGGATGGCTGGAGACATTCAGAGTAGATATTTCCCAAAAAGCAAACCTTTGTCAAAAGAAATGTTGTAAGGAACCTTAATATATAAACACATCCAAGGAACTTGGCTCTATTTGAAGGGGGGTATATTCCAACACAAGTGATCCTTCCCTAAAATGCTTGGTCAGAGTCCCTTGGGAATACTCTTGTGATCTGAGGACTCCAGATAGCATCACACCTATTTAGCCTTGTTGATCCCAGTAGCTTCTTAAGTCAACATTTATATTGGTGCACTTTATTCACCAAAGGAAGTTTGGTCCAGCCCTTGCTCAAAGAAATGCAGAATTGAAACTGGGTGCATAGAGGAATGATAACTTGGATCATTGGTGGCTGATGACAAATCTACTTACCATGTTTTTCCAGATGCTGGCAGCAGCTGTCCACCAGCCTGGGGACCTGCCTGTAAATGGGATTCAGACTCAGCTTCTTATCTCTGGCCTTTTCTTTTTTATTCTGAGCCTCAGCAGGCAAGGAGAGTTGTAAAGCTTCTAGGAGTCGAGACTGGTTGTCATCCAGATCTGTGATGGAATCCACTGACATGGCACCCTGCAAGTGAATTGTAGATTTGAAAAAGATCACAGGCAGCAGAAAGAAAAGCGGCTGCTTGCAGAGGCCTCCCAATAAAATTTATGGAGAACTATCTCTCTTAAAAGATACTACTGTTTTATTTTGTTGTTATTTACATATTTGTTTATTGCTGACATATCAAGGAAAAAGTAACAAGTATCATTAGTTATGATTTCGATACACAGACTTTTCTAAATAGAAGACAAGTTAGAAACATATAATTAAAACAATTTGTTTCAACTACTTAAATTTTGAAACAAAAATGCATACTCAATGAATAAGGTAAAGTCATAGAACTCTTGTGAATAAAAAAATTCTCAACTATAGCACTAGGAAGTAGATTTTAAACATAGGAAGATTTAAACTGGGCATGATGGCACATGCCTGTATCCCCAGCATGCAGGAGGTTATAGCCATCCATCCTGGATGAAGTGTGTGCTGAGAAGTCAACTATTGGAGTGCTGGTAGGGCCTGGACAGAGAAAGGGACATTTAGGAAGTCTACTGCCTAGGTCCTAGATTCCCAGAAAGCTCAAATTTAGAGTTTTGGTTTTACTGTTATTTGGATTTATAAACAGTCTAAGATAATTACAGGCTTAGAAGAACAAATTCATCTTGAAATACAAATATTCCATAGTTTTGTCTTTTTTTCCACTTTGAATCATAGTTAATACCATAAAAAAATAACAGGGCTTAAGGTCTTGCTATATCTTGGAAGAAGTCCTGAATGTTGAAAGCTAAAAAAAAATATGAGTTATAAATGGAAGTTTGGTTGTGTATTGAACTAGGACAGTCTTTAATGGCTGGATTGACAAAGATTTCCAGCCTAAAGTTTAGAGAAAAGGGAAAGAACTTTCAGGAACATAGGAAGCCTTAAAGATGCTTTGAAGTGATTATGCTGATTAGCATCTGGGTGGTCTGAGAAACTCAGCTTTCTAGATTTGCAATGTGACATGCAATAGCACAGAGCCTAGAACATAGTGCCCACTCCATCACTGGCATCATACTGATATAGCATGGATTTGAAAGAGACTGCATATAGGACTGTACATCTCTATTTAAAGAATGACAAACTCCATTGATAAGAAAAAACTAACTCCCTCATTGATTTTGAACAGCTATGGCTAATTCACTGATCCAGGTACATTCTAAGAATGAAATTGACAAAAATGAACAGAAACACTGAATGTTGGCCTCAAGACTCTACTTCTAGCATAGGGGTGTCTAACCTGCAGCCCATGTGTGCAATGTATATATATACACACACACATATATATGTATATATATAGTGTATGTGACATTGTGACAGTAGAAGGCCATCTATAAAGTTCATGCTCAAGAACTAAACAACTGAGTTACAAAACAAAATGACCAAAATAATTCTCACAATGTTTTAAATAAGTTTATGGATTTGTGTTTTGGTATATCCATAGCTATCTTGTTATGTATGTGGCCCTTAGGTTGAAGGTTGGGCTTGTCTGATTAAGCAGGAAGTCTATCAAGATGGCAGGAGATAACAAAAGACAAGCATCAATGACAGCAGTGCAGAACATCTGGGGACCAAGTTAATCAGGAGGGAAATGTGGAGGGAACGTTAGCTGCCACATTCACAGTACTGGTTATTGCTGAATGGAAGAGATATCTACCAATGTGTCTGGTTTTCATGTTAATAGAGACTCAAAGGACAACCTTACTCATTTTCAGTGTTCTCAGAGTCAGAGGAGATCCTGCCTAACTCACCCTTCTCCTGGCCCGAGGAGCCGGTTCTGGAGTGTTCGGGGATGTGGACTCATTTGGTGTTTCTGAGGTTGAGCTGAGAGATGAGTTACTGCTTGAGAGTTCTTTGTTCTGTTTCTTATTCCCAAACGGGAGGAGGGAAGACACAAAATCAGATGCGTCCTTTTGCTCCTCCCTCTGCAAGTCTTGCTTTAGTTTATATGCCCGGTCATTGGCAATGACTTGGGATAAGGGCATTCCAAATGCCTGTGGGATAAATTCTGCAAGGAAAAAAAGATATTTATATTCAGGGAAGGTCCAAACAGGAGAGGATGCTCATTCACATCACATCCATAAAAGCAGGCATAGTCAAATTATTGATTCAAAGAATTGATTCATCAATCAGCATACTGAGGTGGTTTTGTTTGGTTGGACAAATGTCCTAAGTTTCAATTACAATTAAGGAAGCTAGTAGGTACAAATATACATTTTAGAAATGTACGTCTCTAATCTTTCCCCATCTGCTCAAGTCTGTTTTAAAGGAAATAACTTTGTAAAGAAGTATGACATTTGGACAGACTATAAATAATATTTTATGCCCATGATCACACATCTTTATAAACCATTACTCTTCAATTTATAAACTTTATAAGTCTTTGAAGGCATGAGGAAACCATATATATCCGTTCACTCAACAAACATTTATTGAACACCTACTACTTGTCACGTCAGCTTTTACAATGAAGGGGGTATAAAAGATCTCAAGTCCTTTCTCCTGAGGGGTTCTGAGATGGGGTGAAGATGTGCAGAGTCAGACATGTAAATAATTATAACAGAGTGATTCTCATCTGAATAATAGAAAGATGAATGAATCCAAGGTTGAAATTCAATTGATACACTTTAAGGATCCTAATAAAAGAGGCAGTATGGGAAGTAATAAACTATACTCATGCTTCCTGATGACCACATGCAGAAGTAGACTTGACCATGATATAGCTTGTGGGAAGCCCAGGATATTTTTGTTATTTTTTTTAACTAGGGACCATTTGAGGAAGAGACCAAGTATAGAACTTTTTGGCTTCATTTGGCAATATATATATATAGTTTCTTTCTGCATTATTGTGGTAAATTCATGTGTGTTCATATATATTAGCTCCTCAGAGATAGACATTTTAGCAGCATTTTATATTTATGCTGAAAGTATTAATAATTCAATTAAGCACATTATTCTTGTTAGATTCAAAATTACATCTCTTAGCAGCCATAGCATTTAGAGTCTAGGAGAGCCCTTGTTTTTACAGGTCCTGTTAATGAAACCGAAATGATCAAGGGAAAATAACTCTAAGGTTATTTGTTCTTTGAACAAAAAAGCCAACATTAAACCAGGTGGAAAGAGGCTTTGAAACGTTTTCCTGCTTGACTCATGGTAACATTTTAAACTAGGCTAATAGCCAAGTCTCCATTAAGAGCAGAAATGGTATTTTAAAGGCATATACCTCTGGTCCCATCAAAAGATGCAAGTTGTTTTGAAGTAAAAAGTCCTAAGTTCATCTGAGGATTTTTCTGAGGTGCTTGCTCTATCAGTGAACTATGGAATATATGGCAATCAAAGGGCTATGCCTTTCTCTTTTGAGGTAAGACTAATACTGCAAAGAGCAGTTCCAGGCCATAGGCTGTGCACTTGGAGAATTTCGTGTAAGAAGCAGGACATAATCAGATATTCTTCAAAAAGTTTGGACATACACATGCTAAGACTGACAGCCACATAGAATGTACAGACATGGATGGGGAGAGTCACAACAGAGAGGACTTTGAAATACATCATGTGGCATGGGTCTGTTAATGTGGGCACAAGCATGGCGGGCCTTGCTCTAAAATGAGGGCTCTTCAATCCTCCCATAGCCATTTTCCCATATAAGCAAACCCAGTCAGACTTATTTAGAGATTTCTAGTCTCTCTGGGAAAAAAAAAAACAAGAAAGACAGTTTCTTTGAAAACTATAATTAAAAAAAAATTATCTTTATGGGTAGGTGTGTGTCTCTTTGTAGGTGCATGGATGTGTTTGCAAGTGCCCATGGAGGCCAGAAGAGGGTGTTGGATCCTTTAGGGCTGGATTTACAGGTGGCTGTAAGCCACCATGTGGGATCTGGGAACTGGAATTGAGTCCTCTGCAAGAGCAGTTCATGAGCTATCTCTCTAGCTCCCCCTAATCTAGCATTTCTGATATCTTAAAGTCCATCACTATGTTTGTAAATTGTAATGACTGAATACAAATTAAACAGCAATCATATGAATTTATTCTCTCCTGATATTTAGTCTTCTTTTAATTTTATTCAAAAGATGTTTCCACTAAGAATGGGTTTTTATTTCTCTTTGGTATGGTAAGCTTCTGTTAGGGCTGAGCTTATTATTTCAATGCTAGAGTTTTTATGTGGGCTCCTTAGTTTCTTGCTACTTTTCTCAAAGACTCTTATAAGCTTTACAAAGCAGAGCTCTTTAAGCTCAAAACTGTGAGATGTTGTCTTGAGGTTTTTGCAATATTCTAGGAAGGATCCTTGAGTATTCTTTCTCCTTAAAAATACAGCTATTGTGAAATCAAAAACTCATCAAAATTCTATTGGGCAAATTTGTCATTTATGTGGCAATCAAGCATTGGGTGCACATGCATATCTCTGAGTTCAAAACTTTTCTGTGAGGAGGTCATAGAAACCTGAAGATTCTTCACAAAGACAGAAGCTAATAAACTTGATAATGGGATTTTTTAAATGACAAAGATATTATCTAAGGCTCTCTGTGCTGTGGCTAGGGACAGCTAGTATTATGTCCTAATCTGAGCCATGTGTTCCACCAGGATATTAGCAGTGGTTGTCTTTGCCTCCTCGTGAAACATGGGGTCAAAAGGTGATGGATTTTCCTCTTTGCTTCCAACTGTTCCCTTTAGAGCCCCACCCTCCCACCTGTGACGGAAGCTTACCATCACAGGCTTGTCCTTGTCCTTTACTCTTTGTTGTTTTCTACTATTATTGGCTTTGATTCACCATTAAACCACCAATCTCGCATAAAATTTGGTGACTTGCCAGTCCACCTTAATGGCTCACATGATTCTCTGTTCTCATGTTTACTTGTCCCCCTTTTTCTCTTCTAACTTTTGGCTGTATACCATCTTTGTCATCCATTCCTTTAGTCCCATGCTGGACCTCGTTTTTCCCAGAATTTACGCTTCATTTCCATCTTCAGCTCTCACTTGTCCTCCAAGCACAAGCCACTTCTTGTTCCTTTATAGCATGTCTCACTCGCAGTTTTTTCTTACTAGACCTTGCTTGGATTGCTAGGGGTGTCTGCTCTTTATAGAGGTAAATATAACTTTAGAAAGTCATACACTAATACTTCTTTTTATGCCTCATTTCTATTCCATCATCTTGCCATTCTAACTTTACATTATCTTCTGTTTTTAATCTACTTCTCTCCACCTCTGCCACAATCTTCATTCCATGATATCATTGCTTTGCTCCTGGATTTTATAGCTTTCAAATTGCCCTTCCTCCATTCCTTTGTGCTGATGTCAGCTCCACTCCAAGTTCATCTAATACAATGTAGCATGATAGAGTATTTTAAAACACTATGAAGTTATCCCTTAGTATATTTTGATGATGTCTCAATGCTGTTTTCATGTAGACTAAAAGTTGTGTTGTAGTCCACAAAGTCCTCTGTGAGATAACCCTCCCTTCTTCCTACTTTTCTCTGGAACTACATACATCCTGGTCATTCTCTTCTCTAGTAATGGTTTGTGTGCGCGTGCATGCATGCGTGCGTGCATGCGTGCGTGCGTGCGTGCGTGTGTGTGTGTGTGGCTGTGTGTATTTTGTATACATGTTCATGCTGAGGTGTTCTTGAGGGTTTGGATTTCCATATACACACAAGGAGGTCAGAAAACCTTATTTTTTTCTCCTCAGATATTTACCACCTTTTATTTGAGACCAGATATCTCACTGGCTTGAAACTTTGCCAAGTTTTTCAGGCTAGATGAGCAGTGAGCTTTCAGGGATCCACCTGTCTCCACCTCCCATTTCATCCTTTCTGGGCTTATAGGCACATCCCACCAAATCTGTTTTTTTAATGAGGGCTCTAGGGGTCTAATTCAGGTTCTCACACTTGTGTGGTAACTACTTTGCCTACTGAGTGATGTTTTTAATTCCCAAAGGATGGCTTTTATTGATACCTTTGAATCTATTTTCTTAGAGAATTTCTACATGTAATTAATTCTTAATTTTTTTTCTACTACTACTTAATGTGAAGCAAAACTAGAAGTTGAGGCAATTAGTCTTTTGTAGGTTTTACTTCACAGATCACATATAGTGACTTAGACAGTGAGTAACCATAAGGCATGACACAATGGGGTTTTGGTACATAAAAGGTACCACAATTGAACTAATCTTCTTTTCATGTTCTGTCAGAGTCCCGGTGGACAGTTACTCCATAGTAACACGTAGTCCCTATGTGCCTTGATTAAGGAAGCCCTGGAACTGGATCAAAGTAGTTATTTCAAATATTTATTTATTTATTTATTCATTCATTCATTCATTTATTTATCTTTTCCACAAAATCTGGTTTTTTTTGAGTCAAGAAAGAAACTGTCTGAATTTCTGAAAGTTACTTTTATTTGCCAAATAATTAAACTACAAGAGACTAGGAACTTGGAAATCTTCTGTTTGAAAATATGCTTTGCAAATCAATGTCAATCTTGAATTAGTTTCCATATGGCAACCAAAACTTAGATGGGCTTTAAGTAGCATCCTGAATGCAAGAATGTCATATGATTTGTTGTATATTTTTATATGAAGGAATTAAATATCATTCAGGACATGATTCATGCTGATGGAATCAATTAATATAGTAGCATATCAAATATTTGTGAATCACTTTTTTTTTATTGGGAGAGCAGGTCAACCATGAAGAGCTGCTCCCCTTTATTTTTAGATGGCCTAACCCAAGAGGTCATTCAGAGTTTCCTGTTTTCCTTCTTTCCCTCTTGGATTTCAGTGATGATCATTTTTCACATGTGTGTCTGTTATGAACCCAAACACTAATATCCAAAGGGAAGTGAACTGATTCCAAATGTGCCACTCCAGTACACAGCCACCCCCAGGTTCTGGTTCCCAAGATAGCCAGGTAATGGCTCCCAGTGTTGACATGGACAAAGCTTTATGTTTTGAAGAGCTGTCAAGAAGTAACTCTTCAATTAAGCTTAGAACACTTTCTTTTTTAAACACCAAAGCTAATCCATAAAGAGCAAACTTCACATAGTGAAGCTTGGTACTTCTCTCCTTAGATGGATGGATGATCTGCCTTTTCATTAGAACCATCAAGAGCTTACTTTTTTTCTCTACTCTTCTCTTATGTCAATAAAGAATACTGCCAAGATTTTACTGGTCTACATTAATATGATTTGGTCTGAAAAATATCTAAATTCCCAGTGGACACTAATCAGTTCCTTACTTGCTGACCCTTACTTTCCTATTCACTCATGTTCTTTCTTTCTGCTTTCTTTATATACAATATAAGTGTGCGCACACACACCAATTTAGGGAATGCAAACATTAAACTCTCCCTGCCAAAAAAAAAAAAAAAACAACCCTCATTCTTCTTAGCATAGTCTGAATGTGTACTTTCTAAAGAACCACCTAACATCTTCATTGTGTTTTAATCCCAACACCAATATCATTATCCTAGAGTAAAGCAACTTCAAGCAGTAATTTATTACTCATGTAGCTGTCTTCACTTTTCAGTTACAGTAAATTGTAATAAAATTAAATGGAAAATTAACAAATAAGAAAGTCATATGTTTTAAATGGTTTCTATCACAGGATATTATAGTAATTGGCTTATTGTTAGTTATTTTGGTTCGTCTTCTACTGTGCCTAATTTATAAATGATACTTTACCATATGTATGCATGTATACACAGGGAAGTATACTGCACATAGGTTTGCTATTAGCCAAAATTTGAGTGATCAGTGGAAAGTTTTTGGAATGTATCTCCCATAGATAAGTGGAGGAATAGTGTAGTTAAGTGCCCACCCATAAATGAGTCATCTATTTTGTCCCCTCTAAAGCCTAGGGGGCACTGAGGAAGATGGAGTGGAAAGAGTAAGATCTAGATGCTGGGGTATAATGCTGTTAGATGTGGTCTTCTGCACATGACATGTCCATTGCACTCATGAACACAGCATCTGTGTTTACCTGCATAAGACATGCACAAATAAAAGACAGGAAAGTAGGAAGGGGACTAGTTAGGAAGAAGAAGGGGTCAGCAGGAGAGGGTAAAAGGAGGTAAGAAGGGGTGGACATGATCACAATATAATATACTATATACAATACTATACTATACTATATACTATACTATATATAGTATAGTATAATATATGACAACAATATAATTTACTATAATATATTCATGAAATTGTGAAAGATATAACACAAAAAATAAGAGCAATAAAACATCAAACATATACATATAATAAAATTTATCAGATAGGGGATATCTAGCTAGCCTACCCTTTATCTTCATCATTCTAGTAACAAATTTTGCTGAGGTTGTTCATATCCTGCTGAGTATTCTGGTGAATATGATCACAGCTCTCATGTTAAAATGTATACATTGGAAGTTTTTTTTTCAAGAAAGCAACAGCTCATTCACTGCAGTGAGGATCTAGCCATTAGGTGTGCTTTTGTTTGCATTTTTTGGGGGTGCTGGGCACAGAACAACTGGTCTTCTGCATGCTAGACAAGTATTCTATCCCTGAGCTATATTCCTCAGCTCTTGGGCCTTAGGACATTTAAATATTACAGCCATGATTCTTTCTCGCAGCTAAAGGTATGGATTCTTAACACTTTTATCTCTTTTTTTTGCCCAGCTTGTGGTACACATCTAGAAGGCTGAGCACAGTCTGCCTAGAGGCAGTGCTACTGGCACTTAGCAGAGGCCAAGGATGCTACTAAACTAGAGGCAGTGCTACTGGTGCTTAGTTAGCAGAGGCCAAGGATGCTGCTAAACATCTCACACCTCAAAGCACAACATATGCCACAAAAATTTTCCAGTCTACATTGCTACTAGCACCAAGGAAGACAAAACCCACTGTAAGGGAAGCAAAATAGTGAATTACTATTCCTTAGGATTCTTTCTATCCAAATATCATGAACTTTAAGGCACACTTTCAGCTATGCATATGTAGACTGCTATCAGTGTTAGAATAAGGCTTGTCCAGTGCAATTTGTAATGCATTTAATTTTAAAGCCATTGCTTTTCCACTACAAGCATAAATGCAGTTAATATATATGGGAACTCCAAAGTGAGACACATGTCTTTCCTCATTCAACACTTATTCATTGTGGCACATAAAATGAACATACATTCACTCAATGACACCATTCAACAATCAGTTCATATAACACAATGAGAACAAGTCATAAAAAAATTAGACTGTTCTAATGGGGTCCTGGTGACCTTTACAACTGAAGAATACAAACTTAAATTGACAACAAATGTCTCTGAAAGAGTGGCTCAAGTGTCATTTCCCTAAATAGCCATAGAAATGGACACAAATCAGTATGATGAAAGCCAGTAATTGTGGAAAACATATGGTGCCTAAACCAAGCATTCTGTGATCTAACAAAATTGCTGACGATGGCCTATCTTTAGTAAGCCTTGAGATGAAGATTGTTTCTTTTCTGTAGTCATAGTAGATGAATGCAAACTCTTTCTCATTTAATTAGTCCTGCTTAATTGTCTGCATTTGCCAAACAGCTGGTTAGTATTAGGCATGCTGGCCATGACTACTCAACCCAGGTCCTCTTTAGACGTAGCTGATTGGACAGAGTAATTGGAACCACAACCGTGGCTGTAGTCACCCACTGCTCAAACCAGCTGAACTCATCAGTTCAACATAGGGATACTCAAACACAGAAAAGTAGACCCAAATGGCTCTCAATGACATTCCATTACAGAAATGTAGTTTACATAATAGAACCCAACCAGATAAACCGATGCAATTTGAAATCTCCACCCAATCCAAGCAGCATGCCTCCTGCAAGATGCATTGGTTTTAGTTATTTGGCCCTTTACCTTTGTCTTTGTTCTTTTCCTTCCCTAGGGAATCCAGTTTCTTTCTCAAAGATTTCTTTCTCTTTTGTCCATCTGTAAATATTAAAGGAATAAGCCATTGTAAAAAAATAAGTATACAAATGATTTTCACATTACAAACAATTACAGTTGACTAATTACTTCACTCATAGAATTCAACATTGTAAACAGAGAAATAGCTCTGAGAAAACTGGAAAAATCCATGACACATGAAGCCAGCCTTGAAATGCACTCTGAAATGTTCTTCCAATCATGGGAAGAGCTAGAAACAGCCCTCATTCATATGTAATTCAGTTTTGACATCCAGATGTGTTTGTTTTTACTATTACATAAGGCTTTTCCTATTCTCCATGGTTATACGAGTCATTGTTCATTTTGAACAAAATCTCTATGACAGAATCAACTATATACACATTTAGCTTTGACATTCATAAGCTACTACAAGTGTAACTGGAAAGGGAAATGGATTTGGCGTCCCACAGAATTCAGACCTTACTACTACCATAACATGTATTACTTGCAGGGCTTTGGTTAAGTCTCAGTGCTCTTATCTAAACAGTGAGAATTCCATGGTTTTGTTGTGGGAATTAAATGAAACAATGTATATAAAATGCTTAATGTGCAAGCCTGGTGCAAGTCCATAAATTCAGATCTACTATCTCCCTGGGGCTTGCATGTCATTCTACAGAATGGCTGTCCCATAATTTAATTATTCACCCACTGATGGATATTGAAGTTGTTTCAGATGTGTCACTAGAAGTGGGGAATATTCTTTTTTAGCATTTGATACTTCTAACAAATGTAATTAGTATTTTGCTTAACTCACCAAATAGTAAAGATACCATTCATATCGGTTGGCAGCTCCAATCAAATTCCTGGAATGTCATCATAAAATATTGGCATTTATCATTGCCAGAACATGCTTTGGAATTATTCAGCTTAACACATAGGGGGTGTAGATCAGGAATCCACACTGGTTCCAAATAGAGAAAATGTAGTTCATACCCAAGGGAACTGTTTAAAAAGTGGATTAAGAATTGTCTTGCAGGACATACTAAAACATGTCATAAAAAGGAGATACCACCAAATAAAATTTATAAAACAAGACTCTGACAGCAGGAAATGACAGAGTAAAACCTCTGGATGTAGTGAGCATTCCTGAGATCCTCTAGGGCTTCAGATGTTCCCAACTCCTTCTCTGCTGTGAAGTGTTAGAAATGCAGGAACACCACAATATAGGTAACAGACACATTTAATACCTTTCCCTTCCAATATCCTGCCCAAAACACTTTCTTCCCACAAAATGAAAATAGTAGGATTTTTCACCTTTGGAGTCATGAGATTTGTAAAATGAAAAAACCATGTAAATCAATTGTATGGTGGCCAAGAGCCATTAATCTCTTTCATCCCTGGTGTGTTCATATCTTAAACCTCTAAGAGTTGATCTAGCTATTAGGGACTGTTGTGAGTTATTATATATACACAGATAATAAAACACACTAACTACATAAGATTCTAATCTGTTCTCCAAATAAGATTGATGGTCCTTTTACTTTGTAATGCTTTCTTTATTGCCAGTTCATATCACCAAATGTGTTTGGTCAGTAATAATATTTCATACTAAAAAATCCTCTAATTCTTTAATTTACATATTTGACTGTACAGAATAACTAAACAACATATCTATTAAAGCCTAAGAGATTTTTCTGTGGTGCTAGGGACCTTGCACATGCCAACCAAGTGTTCTATCAATGAGTTCATCATGAGAAGTCACAAGTCTTTGTCTTTAATTTTTGTATTTTTTTTGGTTAGTATATAACCTAATGAATATCACTATGATGTTTTTATACATATGTTTCATTACACTTTGTTTTCAATCATTCTCCTCTCCCCCTGCTCTATCCTCATGAACACAATCCTTCTGGATGGCTGTCTTCCTGCCTCATTATGGGCATCTGTGATCTGCTCTAAAGCATATTCCTCAGAATAACCCTTACTTGGAAAGTGGAGAAATTTGACTTTGAATCCAAGCTCCACCACCTGTGGCTTGGGGAGTTTTGTGCTTTAACTTTTTGATTCTCAGTTCTGGCAATTGTAAGATGAATAGATTTTCTGTGGATTACATGTTGATTCATATTAGAGTCTATTACAAAATATGAATTGTCACATCAATGACGACTCATGCTAGTCTTCATGACTATTTAGAGGTTAAGATTATTGTATACTCTCCCCCCCACACTTCTCTAACTTTGAATTACCTTGGGCATGTCTCACAGGCACATCCCTCAGATAGGGACTATATATCCTTCCCCTACCACCTAGGCAGACGTGTAGAGTATTAGCTTTGACATTAGAGAGTTCTGTAAAACAGGTTTGGAATTTATCACTTCCTACAGAAAAGTTACTTAATCTCTTCAAACCTCAGTCTCCTCATCTATAAAATAGGAGACATAAATAGTCATGACTGTAAGGACTATTGCATAGATAGAATAAGGTTATAAATACCCTATACTTAGATTATAGCACATGCTCAACAAGTACTGATTATTCATTGATCTATGTACAGAGTAGAGGTGGAAAGATGAGACCACAGGTATTTAGATATTCAGAAAAGGGAAGTAGGCAAGAACTATCTTCCCTACACCTTTCTTATTGAATTTTCAGCCTCAATCAGTTCATCTCCTCTGAGAACATTAATGAAGACTTTCTTCCACAAGGCCTGCTGAAAGGAACATGCATAGAAGCCAAACCTAAAGCACTCATTCCAAAATGCCTTTGATGGGGACATGTTCCCCAAGTTCCTTCTCTAAGACAGCATACACATGAGAAGTGTAGCCCTGCCATTGTTTCCATCACACCATAAAAACATTCTTATAGATAAGTATAATTGGGAGGCTTTATTTTTCTAAAATCCTGCTGAGATTTGATTGGGTCTTGCTCCAAAAGTATGTGTTTGGAAACTTAGTTCTCATTACAACAGTGTGGGAAAGTGTAGGCTTAATGGAAGGACCTGAAATCATGCATGCACCCTTGTGGACTGATTAATGCTAATTAGAAAGGTCTTGAAGCTATTCTTTCTCTTTCTCTCTCTATAATACCTTCCACCATGTTATGAAACATGAAGGCCCTCTCTAGATGTGCCCTTCGATCTTAGACTTACCAAATTACCAGCTCCATATAAACTCCCATTGTTTATAAATTATCCAGTGGCATATATATTTAAGGGATTGAACAAACTAAAACATACCTTCATCTCCACCTCTCTGCTTGGAATGATGCAAGCCACATTGTCTACTACATGCTCCCTACTATGAAGGTCTACATCTTCATATATAAAGTCAATCTACAGTTGGAAGCCTCTGAAATTGTGTGCCTCTTTTAAGTATTTTCCTTTGATATTTAAAAAAATATTTATTTTGTTCTCTTTCATACATATTAGTATTTTCCTTGAATGTATGTATATGTACTGTGTACAATGCATGATGCCTGCAGAAGAAGGTGTCTGATCCTTTGGAACTGTAGTTATATATGGTTGCAAGCCACTGTGAGACTGTGGGAACTGAATCTGGGTCCCATTCATAAATAAAACGTGCTCTGAAATATGGAGCTGTCTCTCCTGCTCCCTCTTGGGTATTTGGTAACAGTGATGAAAACTGATTAATACAAGAGAAGTGTTTACATACACTTAATGATGAAATGAAGGCAAAGAAAGAATTAGTAGGCACTTGCTGCCAGGGACAGAGGTCTCCTTTGGTCCTGTTACAGACATAAGCAAGAATATAGCTCAGTGGGCACAAAACAGGCACATCTAGTCCACTACTGTTCATGTGAAGATCAATGTACAATGATCTTTAACAGTTGAGAGCTGATGTAAAATATTGGTCATTTCTCACACAGATATGAAGTTTTATCCTCTCAAGAAAGGCAGAAAATCTCTGTCTCACATTCCTCACACTTACCTTAAGTCAGCATAGGGACCTAATTCTGAGCCATTACACTCGTTTATAGTATCTGACAGGCACTGAAATTTGCAAACCCATTCGAGCCTAAAAGGGAGGTTCTAGCTTGTTCAATCCTTTAAAACAATTCCTGCTGAGAAAAATTTGGCAGGATGATTTTGGCACTGCCTCTCCTGTTTCCCAGCCATAGCTGCCTCACTATTTAGTTGAACCAGAAAAATAGACTCCCAGAGAAAGTAAACCAAAGGAATTCATAGGCAATGTGGAGAACTTAGTGGAAAAAGTGAGGATAAATATAAAAAGAGACTTGTGGGGTGGTAGAGTAGGAATTGACCCTTTAGAAACTACACATAGTCTATGTTATGGGTTCTCAATCTGAGCGCTAGTGACATATGAAGCCATGTAATTCTTATTTATTTATTTTTTTAAAGTTTTTTTTTACATATCAATCCCAGTCCCCCCTCCTCCCCATCTCCAGCCCTCACCTTCCCCCATCCAACCCCCCATACACTCCTCAGAGATAGTAAAGGGCCTCCCTTGGGGAGTCAGCAAAGTCTGTCATACTAAGTTGAGGCAGGACCAAGCCCCTCTACCCTGTGTCAGGGCTAAGCATGGTAATTCTTTATCATGGTCAACTACCTTATGTATTATATGCTACATAGCCACATCCCTTGCTTTTATTTACTTAGCTGCCAGAGCATATGCTCATATTCTGTTGCAACAACCAATGATGTTTCTGAGCATGACCAAATATCCACAGGAGGCACAACTCCTGTGGTTGAGAACCACTGCTTTCTACATAATTCTATGTAGAGAACACAGCAATGCACACAGGCAATGTAAAGAAAACCTTCATGCTCTCCCTTCCAACTGATACCCAGCTTCCACTTCTGTTTTAGACAGAACCACATCAAATTATTTACAAATTATTAAGACTTTTAACTATTGGGTTGAATTTCAGGAAGAAGAACAATTCCCTTCAATTTATAAAGAAATGAGAGTCTGCCTATAGTTAGTGATCTTTGTACCAAATGCTCAAGACTATAGGTTTTAGGATTAAAATAAGCCCCTGGAGTAAATAGCCTTCTGTTTCCT